GCCTTTCCTTCAGTATATACTACTGTTCTGAGGTGGTGGGACACACCTCAGCACTCGGGGAACTCAGGAAGGAGGGTCAGGACTTTCACACGAGCCTAGCTGCATAGAAAGGAAGAGAGAGAGGGAGTAAGGGAGGGAGAGGGCAAGAGAAAGAAAGACTAAGAATGATTCTCAGAAGAGTGTTACACAGAACGGAGAACAAATCTTGGCTGCATGGGTTCAAATCCAGGCTGTTCTACTTACTACCTGTGGCCTCTCACCTTCGCAGTCTTTCCCGCTCAGGCACCCTCTCTCTGAGCCCACCTTCCAGGCATGCTTTACTTGCTCCCACCTGCAGAAGGTTCTCCCCGCCTTCTCCCCGCCCTGGTGGTGCGGCAGCCCCAGGGTGCTGTTTTGTTTGGTGCCATTTCAGTTACCCATGAGCCTCTGCACTCTAGAATATTAATATTCATCTTGACTTTTCAAGAAGGAGAGATTATATCTGCTTAACTTATATTGCCTTGAGTCCGCATATAACTTTACCTTAGCAGGACCTTCCTTTGTCTAATGAGGCTACAATCAAAGTTTGTCCAGCCTGACTGTCCAGCAGTTTGCCAAGACCTGGGTGTTAACATGCCATCTACAGGCATGATCTAGAACAAATTTCTTACTATCCTGTAATCTATACATCATGCAGCATTAGATTGGAGGGAGGCAAGGATAATACCTGTACGTCTGAAATAAAAATGTAAAGACTTGAGATGTTTGTAAGTACCACAGCTGAAGTCATAGTCTTGTTCCCGCCTGTACTCTCTGGAGCTTAGGGTCCCCATCAAGTCCTCACAGCCATGGGCAGAATTCAGCCTTTTGGCTTTAGGACTAAGGTCTTTGCTTTCTTAAAGTTTTATTCCTCTAGACAGTACATTAAAATTGAAGACTGGGTTCATTAACAGAAATCCCCACTAGTTACTATTTGTACAGTAATTATATAACCTGGTACACAGATAATGGGTTCAAAAAGCTTTAATGAGGAGTTTATTTATTTTAAAGTAATGTACAGAAACCAAACTATTTCAAAAGCAAAAGCCAAGATGGATGTTCTGTAGCTTTTAACATCGAGGATTTTAGCCGCATTTTGAAATTTCATCTGGTCAATTAAGTATACAAAACAAATTAACCAAAACATACATTATGTATGTAGAAAAATATTAAAGTATATAATAAGGAAATGTGCTCAATATAAGTCTTTAAAAATTGAAAACACAAAGTAATTTTGAGCTTCATGACAGCCTTAGGGTTCACATTACTTGACTGGGATAAATTTAGACGATTAGGCATAGTCTGGCTTGTTGTCCTTACATGCTGACTGAGCTTCTTCCTCCTTTAACTCTTTCAAGGGGAGTTTAAAGTGTGTGTGTGTGTGTGTGTGTGTGTGTGTGTGTGTGTGTGTGTGGTGTGATGTGTGTGGTGTGTATGTGTGTGTGTGTGGTGTGTATGTGTGTG